TGGGGGTTACTGGGATGAACTGGGATGAACTGGGATGAACTGGGATGAACTGGGATGAACTGGGATGAACTGGGATGGACTGGGATGGACTGGGATGGACTGGGATGAACTGGGATGAACTGGGATGAACTGGGATGGACTGGGATGAACTGGGATGAACTGGGATGGACTGGGATGAACTGGGATGGACTGGGAAGGGATTGGGATGGACTGGGGGTTACTGGGATGAACTGGGATGGACTGGGATGGACTGGGAAGGGATTGGGATCGATTGGGGGTTACTGGGATGAACTGGGAAGGAACTGGGGGGGAACTGATGGTAACTGGGATGAACTAGGAGGGGATTGAGGTATTACTGGGATGAACTGGGAGCACTGGGAGTGGACTGGGATGAACTGGGTTATACTGGGAGGGGACTGGGATGGACTGGAAGGGGACTGAGGCGTTGCTGGGATGAAATGGGAGCACTGGGATGTACTGGGAGGGGACTGGGTGAAACTGGGAGGGGTCACTGGGGGTTACTGGGATGGACTGGGAGCACTGGGAGGGGTCACTGGGATGAACTGGGATGAATTGTGAGGGGACTGGGGGGAACTGGAAGGGGTCACTGGGAGCACTGGGAGTGGACTGGGATGAACTGGGGGAAACTGGGAGAGGTCGCTGAGGGTGGCTGGGGTGAACTGGGAGGGATCTGCGATAGACTGGGATGGACTGGGAAGGAGTGGGGGGTTACTGGGATGGACTGGGATGGACTGGGAGGCAGCTGGGAGGGACTGAGGGTAACTGGGATGAACTGGGAGCGGACTGGGATGGACTGGGAGCACTGGGAGGGAGCTGGGATGAACTGGGAGGGGACTGGGGGGAACTGGAAGGGGTCACTGGGGGTTACTGGGATGGACTGGGAGCACTGGGATGGACTGGGATGAACTGGGGGAAACTGGGAGAGGTCGCTGAGGGTGACTGGGATGAACTGGGAGTACTGGGAGGCAGCTGGGAGGGACTGAGGGTAACTGGGATGGACTGGGGGGTTACTGGGATTAACTGGGAGGGAGCGGGGGGCACTGGGACATTACTGGGATGAGCTCGGGGCTTACTGGGATGGACTGGGAGTGACTGGGATGGACTGGGAGTGACTGGGATGGACTGGGAGGGATCTGGGCGATTACTGGGATGAACTGGGAGAGGTCACTGAGGGTTACTGGGATGGACTGGGAGGGATCAGAGGGGGTACTGGGGTGTATTGGGATGAACTGGGAAGAAACTGGGATGGACTTGGGGGAACTGGGATGGACTGGGATTAACTGGGAGGAACTGGGATAGACTGGGAAGGGATTGGGGGAAGTGGGATGGACTGGGGGGAACTGGGAGCACTGGG